CAGACTCAGAGAGAAGGCATTTCTTAAACGCCCTTACAAGTCTTTCCTCCACAGGAGACATGCTAAGGTCAAAGATTTGCAAGATGTTGCCATTCTTATCTTAGAAAGAAGCTTTGAAAAGGCTAACTGGTATCAAATGTGATCTCACACAGCTCTCAAAGATTTTCTGGATGAGCAGAATCTTAACTCACTACATCTAGTTATGTATTATCATGATCAAAGGATAGCTAACAAATAAAGAGAGAAGTCCATTTTATTCATTTATTTATTTTTTTGGTACCAGGGATCAAACTCAGGACCTTGCACTTGTGAGGCAGGCACAATGCCACTGAGCTAAATCCCCGGCCCAAAGCTGATTATTCTAACAGGGAGAATTAGTAAGCAGAGTATCCATAGGTTGGCTGTGACATTTGACTATTTTTGCTCACTAGGTCATCTCACTAAGGAGCAGCCTGAACAGATGAGGGATGACACTGTTATAAAGTACAACACAGGTAAGAGAGCTCAGTTGTTTAATTGAGGTAAACACCTTGAGGGCAGTGAGTTGTCTGACTGTTGTGTTTTTGTAGTATGGGTTTTTTGTTTGGATCTTCATAGAAGTTATTACGAGGAAACTGTGAAGGTGGATGTAATTTTAAAACCAAGAAGTGCCATTAAAGCTGGAGGGAAAGAAGACTGCAAACTTTTCATTTGGCTAGAAGCAGATAGGGCAAACCAAATGGAAGAGTAAGTACAGATGTGGGATGAAGATGATATGGAAAGAAACATCTTTCTGTTGCTCTTCATCAATGAATCCCTCTATCCAAATTGTGCTACAGGGAAACACTGGTGATAAAACAATCAGGATCTTACCCTTAAGGAATCTGCTTATTAAATTAGAGGATGAGGCAATCAAATTACACAGAGCAATGTTCTGTCTGTGATGAATGCTTAGGAAGAAGGTATATGATATAAAAAAAGATACAGCAGGAAGATTTCATTTCATAAAGAAAACAAGACTTCTCAGATGGAATGGTGATCTCAAGAAATGGTCATTAATTACATTTCTTCTTGCAGGGAGGTTCATGGAGAGAAGAGGTGAAGTTAGGGAGGCAAGGATGAACTCATTGCTGTTCTCTGTCATTTTCAAGAGGTTCCATCAGCTGTTACGTGATATCTTTTTTTAGACTATACTATTTAATGACTAATGATATCTAGAACCTACAGACCTTACCTGTATATAAAAGTACATAAAAGCAACATGTGATTTGAAAGAATTAACACATAATATACCATACGATTTAATCATTTAGAAGTTGTTGTATATAAATGGAAAGTTTGAAATTAAGAGGGGTAAGGAAGAATCTGCTCATTTGTAAAGCATCAGGTACTAAACTTAAAGAAATAAAAATATGCTACAAAAGAGGTCAAGCCAATTCAATCTTGTTTTTTTTTCCTACAGAAAGTACATTAACATCAACTATTACTTCTTGGTATCTAATTGGTACCACAGCATATGGTCCCTTTGTAAATATTTCATAGTCACAGAATTTTAACAATAAACTTACTATTTTATAGGTAAAGACCTAGGTTCAGAATGGTTGTTGCCAATTTATTTTTCCTCTGAGACTCCACACTATCTTTACTTCTCCCTTCTTTTTAATTTCTCAACTCCATACAATCTTTTACTTGTCTTTATCATGTCATTTTTTCAGTCTGAGAGAAGACTTATTTTTCCTTCAGTGTGTACCATGAATATGTCAGCAACTTTCAACAGAATTATTTACTTTTAATATCAGTTGATCTTACTACTTTTGTCACTAGTCATTTCTATGTCCTTGGAGTAGAAATATGCATGTACATGTGCTTATGCAATTATAATGCCAGTTTTTCCTAGTTTTCTCACATTCTGAGTCTTCTCTATGTACTCTTTCTTCCTGAACGCAGCATCTCTTTGACAGTGTATTTCCTCTGATTCTCTCTTCTTCTCTTCTCATTTCCCCAAAAAACCATTCTTGCAGACCACTTTACATCTCCTGAGCTATAATTAATATGCATAATCTAAGACTCCTAAATCTGAATTTTTGGTCCATATCCCTCCTTTGTGCTCTAGACAGACATTTTGAGTTGACCTCTGGACACATCTACCTGGATATTTCATAACCTCCTTAAATCAACTCCTTAACTTACTTAACTTTCTTAAACACCTAGTCACCATCTGAAAAACTTGCAGATTTGCATATTTTTTCACCAATTCAATAAATAGTTGGATACCTGGGAAATGGAAACAACTGTTTCCTGGTCACACTAATTATTCACAAGCCTCTATTTATATACTTAGGTGTTCCTTGAAGTTACTTTTTACATTTTCTACTTTCAAGACACTCATAAATGTATTTTTAAAGAAGAAAAGAAAAAAGGAAATGAGAATAGTAAAAAAATAAAATTCTTATATTTTACTATTCGTCATACCGAAAGAATAGCTTATGTAAAATTACGGTAATTTAAATAAAAACAGACACATATATACAAACACACATTAAATATTTCTATGAATTCCTTTAGGACACCAAACTGTGTTACCTTTTTGATAATGAAACTCTCCTCCCCTGTTAATCAAAAGCCCATTCCTTTAAATGACTATGTCTTAAGTATATGTTAAAATTTTAGTTTTTATTAATGTCATTTCAAATACTGTTTTCTATGTACTTCATTTCTAGAACTCATATAATTCAAGAGAGCTCACATAAGATGTTATCAATTAAGTAGTTGTTCTCTGATTAGTAGCTAGCATTCTTGTCAGTGGGTGGTCTCATAAGGTACACTCAATTAGAACCTATATAATCTGGCTGGGGTTCTGCAAGTTATAGCTGGAAAGATAAGGGTAAAAGTTCTACTTCTTCTGGAGTGTATGAAAATATCTCCAGCCATTCATGTCATTTTTCTGCATTCTTCAAATTTTTCCACTTGGTTCTGTTCCTCAAAGAACACAGAAGCACCACAGAATGCCCACTTTTCAGTGGAATACATTTAGATACTATTTTTATTGCTATTGTTACAGAGAAAATAGAGAAGCAATGAATAAGTTACTTGAACTGCAGTGGGAACCTCAATAAAAGGCCAGCAAGAATCAAATCACTAACCAATATCTAACGTTATTATGGACAGGCCTATGGCTGACAATTTTGTGAAACACAGATTTAAACATCATCAGTTCATAGCTCTTCAACACATTTTTAGTAAACACTATAAAGGATAAACTTAAAGAACTGTCAAGAAAAAAAAAAAACTCAGAATACAGGATGCAGAGAAAAAACTTGAAAATTGAACTCTTGATTTACTGAAGTAGCTATGCATTAAACAGATGTTAAAATATTCATATCTCTAAAAAGGTGAGTAAGAAGATAATTATTTCCAATTTATCTCTTTTTTTTTTTTTTTTTTTTTTTTT